TGGTGCAGGTTGCTCTGATGCTCAGGTGCTGCGGGGAACAAATAACAGAAATGGGTGATGGGAAGTAAGGATTGTGCGTCCCTTTATTTCTGTGGGCCTCCCGTCATGAGGCCGGGCACCTGGGAGGGGCTTAATTCCTCCCTTGGATCCGGCTCAAACGTCCAACATGAAGCATCTGGATCCCCAGACCATGCCGGGCCCTGTCGTGTTGCCCCTACAACCCAGCACTTCCTTTATCACAGCTCGTCATCACTGTCGCCCCAGTGCCCGTGAGGTGGGGCACAGGCCCCACGTCCATCTGGTCCTCCTGCCACCAGCGCCCAGAAACAGCAGGCTCACTCCATGTTAGGGACGGACAATTCTGACCGAGAGCCCTCCTTTCTCGTCTGCTGGTTGTATCTTCCTTGAAGCAATTCTCGGGAGATAGAAAGATGAACTGACTGCCCTGTCAGCTTCAAGGTGGGTTGAAGCTCCCTGGAGGCCAGCGACGGCCTGCATGACCCAGATGCTCCCTAAACATCTGTGGGAGACACATCTGGACGGTGAGCTGAGATCAGCCCAGGGTGCCTGAGCTTAGCCCAACATGGGAGAGGTTTTCAAGATAAGCTAAGAGTTCAGAGGGCTCTGGTGACACTCAAGGCCAGGCCCTACCTCTCCTGGTGGCCCTGGAGCCCTGGCCAGTTGATGCAATTAGAAAGTCATTTCAAGATGCCCGGTTGGTCCTGCCACAGCCGAGGCTCCTGTCAGGCGGCAGGCTGGCTGAACCTTCAAATACAGGCAGTGAACCACCGAGTTCCCCGAGCGGGGCAGGCGCGCTGTCCAAGAGTGGGCAGCAGGGGGCGTGCGGCGGGGGGCGGGAGTGGGGGTGCGGCAGAAGCGCGAGGCCCCTCATTGCCCCTGGCGGCCGGGCGGTGTTCTGGGACGCAGCCCTCTGGCCTGGCCGTGCTGGGAGCGCCGGCGGAGCAGCACTCGGAGCGAGGGCGGGGTGGGCACAGCCGTGCACAGGAACTCGGGCGAGCTGCTGCTGGGATGCGCCTGCGTGTCGGGCCAGGGGACATTCCAGCGAGGCTGATCCCGGGGCCTCTTAGGTCGGAACGGCCTGGGACCGCATCCTTGCGCTGCAGCCACCAGCTAAGGCCATCTCTCAGCCTCCCTGAGCTGCAAGCCTCTGCAGCTGTGCAAAGCAGACAGGGCAGGACCTGCCTCTCTGGGAAGCCCTTGGTAGCACCCACCCTGGGACACACTCCAAAACCATGCATGTTGTCTCTGTGCAGATGGGGGCCCCAGTACGTCAAACCTGAGCCTAACAAGCTGTCAGGCGTGGGCCCATACACGCAATATCCGTGCACACATATGCACCACTCACATGCACACACAGACACCAAATGCACACAAATACACACATGCACAAGCATACACATCCATGTGTGTACACGCACAGCACATACTTGAATGCATACATGCATATGCATACACACGTGCACCTACACACAAGCCCACATGTGCACACTGCACACACATGCAAACCCAAACACGCTCAGACGTGTACACTTACATGCACACACAGCCCTCGCCAGCCCTGAGTAGCCCCAGCTGTTTCTTCAGGCTCTGCCACCACTGCTGGCAGCTGGCCAGACCCCCTGGACCCGGCTAACCACACCGTGGGGCCCAGAGAGGGCCACTGGTGACCAGTGTTCACGGCTGCCCGACTTCTCTGTTACTGGCACGTGTTTGGAATGAACTTGCTGTGGTTCTGACCTCAGTCTGGTGCTGGGTTTCCTGATCAGAGGACATACACCCCCCCACTCCAAGTGAACGCCAAGCTCCACACACCCTCCTTCTTCTACTCTGAGGAGAACGTTGCAGAAGCTGGTGCAAACCTTAGCTCCACTGCTTACTGCCTTTTCGACCGTGGGCAAATTACTTATCTGTTCTGTGCCTCAGTTTCTCCACTGAACAATGGGTTCATAGCAGAAAGAGTGTGCATGGTTGTATGGTTAAAACGAGATCTTTATAAAGCCTGGGGCGCAACTTCCGTCAAGCGCTCAGGAAGTGTGGGCCCCTGGCCTGAAAGGGGAATTGGAGACATCTTTTCACCAATGGGGAAACTGAGTCCAGGAAAAAGTAGTGATTTGCCCCAGGTCCCACGGCAGCTTCACAGATGACCGGCCCTCCTGTCTGGCTTGCTCACCTTGTGGCCTGGGCTGGCACCAAGAGCCCTCCAGTGCTGTAGAGCCGTTTACTCTGAGGCTTTCATTTCACCGCCTCGTGTTCCCTTCAGTTTTGTTCACATCAAGCACTTCAAGAGCCCCGGGGAGGACACCACAAAGATGATCACGTTACTATAACTGAAAATTAATGGACTGCTGGCAGTTCTAAAAGGAAGACAAATTATCTAAATATTTTATATGGAGTAATAAAACGTTTTCAATTTGCAGCTGCATGTTCTGCACCATTCACCCCTTTATTGCCCAGCTTCTGCCATTGTCAATGAGCGTTTTATCCTCCCTGTTACGTGGTCACTGGACGAACCCTGAGACCGCAGAGAGAGGCAGAGGAGGCCACAGACGCTGTGGGGCGGCAGGCTTGCCCTGTCCTTGGAAGAGCCACCCCCCTGGTCTCGGCTCTGGGGATGTGGGCCTCACTCTGGGGGTGAATATAGCCCCAGACCTCCCAGGGCTGGAGGTGGAGTAGGGGTGGACGTTTCTGCTTCATGATCAGAAAACTGAAAATCGAGCCTCCACTCGTTGTTTGCTCTACTCAGTGCCACATGTTGGGTCCAGCTGTGCCCTTTCCAGGAACGCCTTCCCTTTTCCTCACCTCCTTTTCAACATCTCATCCTTCACAGCCTGCCTCCTCCAGGAAGCCCACTGTAACTAATGCAGCACATGGCTCTCACTCTTAGAACTTGTGGGGTCTACACAGTCCCAACTACAGGATGGCGTGCTGAAATCTACATGGTCTCCTATTGCCACTTGTGTAGACCCCACTGGTGCCCCATTCACATCACCTCAGTCCTCGTCATATCTGTGAATGCCAGTGGTTTCTTACTGTGAGAGCTAGTGACTCCTTCCTGAGGACTTCCCCTGGCTGGAGGAGGGTGTTCATGCTCAGCTGGGCACAGAACAGGCTGGAAGTGCCAGGAAGTTAAAATAAGCACCCAGGGCAGCTTTAAACCAACAATGGAGGGAAAGGCACATCAAAGTGCACTGAGATACCACTCTGTACCCACCAGACTGGCTGCAATAAAAAGACTGACAAGACCAAGTGTTGACAAAGATGTGAGCACCTGGAACTCTCACACTGCTGGTAGAAGTACAAAGTGGCACAACCATTGTGGAAGACTGTCTGGCAATTTCACATAAGTTCAACACACACCTACCTCATCTCCCAGCGATTGTACTTCTAAGTAATTAAATAAGAGAAATAAAAAATATGCCCACAAGAAGACTTGTATATGAACTTCAAGGCAGCTTTATTCACAATAGTCAAAACTTAAAAATGACCCCAGTGTCCAATATGTGAATGGATAAACAAAGTGGTATATTCGTTTAATGGAATACTATTCAGCCATAAAAAGGAATGAAGTGCTGACACACGGTACAACATGGATGGATCTGAAAACATGATGCTCAGTGAAACAAGCCAGACACAAAAGGTCACATACTGTATGATTCCATTTATGTGAAATACCTAGAAGAGATACACACAACAACATGGATAGATCTTAAAAACACATTAAGTGAAAGAAGGCTTTCAAAAGAGTACATGTTGCATGATCCTATTTATACGAAGGTCTAGAACAGGCAAAACTAAGATATGGCGACCAAATCAGCACAGTGGTTGCCTCTGATGGAAATGCTCTGGAATTGATTGTGGTGGTTACACTGGGGCATATTTGTCAAAACTCATTGAACTGTACATTTTATTGAATGTAAATTATACCTCAATAACAATGTTTATACTTGATCATTCGAAAGTCACACAGACCCGTGAAGAATACGTGGCATACACAGGAAAACACAAAGTAAAGCCAGAAATCACTTGCAATTATAGCCGAGATAATCACTTTGATAGTTCCCTTTCTACAGTCATATTTTCACATATTTGGGATCCTGCTATTCACACTGCTTTGCAGCCTGCCTGCAACGTCTGCATTACGTGAGGTGCTTGCTCCATCTCTCCCGCTGCCGCTCCATACCCACTCCCCACCCCTCTCCACCTTCTTCTTCTGCACCAACGGGCTCGGACGATCGGAGGCAAAATTGGGAGATCAGAGGGCGAGAGGCCTGAGAGGCCAGGGCGTTTACTCCTGTGGCTTCCCTGCTAGGTCACCTTGGGCTGGCGATGCCCTCAACCAAAGGTGACAGCTCTTCTGGGGCAGCGGCCCTAGGGACTCTGTCCTTCCGGAGTCCAGGAACCTCCCCCTTTTCCTCGGAGCCTATTGACGTCACAGCTCTGCGGCTCCAGCCCCGGTTCTGGCAGAAATTCTGCGGTTTCACTAAGCTCGCCCACACCTTCCGAATCAGCCCCCTCGTAAATAAGCCGACCTTGAGCATCCTCCTTGAGGCCGTCAGTCCCCGTTCAGATCCCGGCGGTGCACCGGACGCGTTTTCGTGTCGCCGTCAACGATGGCAACGCGGTCCCTTGACGATCCGCTCCCACACGCGTCGCTGACCCTCCCGCCCTGCCCGGGACAGCGGCGCCGGGTCTGCAGGCCCCGACCGAGGACGCGGCTCCAGGGCTGTCCGGGCCGGGCCGGGTCGGCTCCCGGGCGGCCGCCGGGACGCGTCCCCATGACGACAGGGGCGGGGCCGGGCTTCCGACAGGCGGCAGAGGCGGAAGTCCCGCTCCGGCTTCCCGTAATGCCTTGCGCGGCGCAACGTAGCCGGAAGCTGGTGGCGGCGGGGTGGGCGGCTGGCGCGTCCTCCGTGCAGCTGCCGCCCGGCTCGGCCCGACCCCGTCGCGGACCCCTCCGGACCCCGCCCGGACCTCCGCTGACCCCGCCCGGACGCTCGCCTGGCCCCGGCGCGCAGGATCGAGCCCGCCGGTAAGCGCGCCGCCCGAGACGCCCCGACCTGGAAGCGCCCGCCCTGCCCTCCCCGCTGCCCGGGCCGTCCACGGGCCCCTCCCGGGCGGCCCGCCCCCGGACCCCCTCTCTCCTCTGAAGCCGCCTCCTCCTACCTCGGGTTCTGGACACTCCGCGGGTCCCGGCGCTACCCACCCCCATCCTCCGGGGGGGAGCCGGCCCTGCCCTGGCCCCTCCCTCGGACCCAGGACCTGGACACAGCGTCCAGTCGGCCGGTCTGAAGGGGCTTCCGCCCTGCGAGGTGGAGCTCCGCCCGCTCGCAGACGCGGCCTCGGCCAGCTCGCGTCTCCTGTCCTCCCCACCCTTTGCCGGCATCGTCGGGGGCGGGGGGTACGTGAAGAGACCAGGAAGGGGCTTGAACACTTTTTTTGAGTTGACGTGGATTTGGGTGGAAGAACTATGCTTGTCCGAACTGGTAAACAGCTTCATCGCACACCACCAATTTTGGGAGATAATTGCTGGTTCAGTGCAGGTCTAGTCTTCCTGTGGCTCTGTCTATGAGAGCGAAGGCGGCCGAGCGGTGGCCGGGGGTCGTTAGCTCTTAGGTGTGCTTGGGCGCCCTTTCCAGACAGTGCCCTGCGAGGTTCAGGAATAATCTGTCAGAATGAGAAACTGCTGTGCTGAGACGCAGCTGCTGGGGGGGCCCTCAGGCGGTTTCTGAGAAAGAGGGTTATGTTTCTGCCTGTCTGCTGTGTGACGGCCCTGGGGGCGTCACAGTGTCCTTTAGTCATCCCTTTTCATCTCACGTGTGGGGAAGGTCCCAACGTGAGGACCACACGTGATGCAGTCTGACAAGTGGCTGCTTAGGGACCTAAGGAAAAGTGTCCTCATTTGGCTCAACCTTTACTGAGGTTACGTCCGCTGGCAGAACGAGCTGCACTCTACCATCTTGGTTTCAAGCATTAAAACAGGAGTTCTTGGATTATTTTTCAAGATAAACCATATTTGTGGTTTTGAAAGTTAGAGGTATTTGTTTTTGTGTGTTAAACTTAGGATTTCCGAGAACTTGAGGATTCTCACATCCAAAACTGGTCACTGAAGGAAGTTCCTTATAAATCCAAGCCAGGTCATTTATTTTTTGTTTATCTTCTCCAGTAGTTCTGCAGACAAGTGTTCTGCCTCACTTTACACAATTAGAAATTCACAGCAGGCTCACCCCAGTTCTGACTTTGTTTGCCTGTGTCCTGTTGGCCAGAACGTGAGCCTCTGAGGGCCAGCACAGCTCTGTGGAGAGTGTGCAGGGCCTGGTGTGGAGACCTGTATCCGGCAGGTGTGAGTCAGCTCGGCGCAGCAGCCCACATGGGGCGCTCCTGGGGCTGCCATGAGACGAACGTGTGCAAAAGCTTTGTAAACTCAAACCCACCAGGACGGCTCTCCAAGGGTCTCTTCCCTGTTTCTGCCTTTCGAGCTGTGGATGAGTAGACTGCTCAGTTTGATGACAGTATTCCACCTGAAGGAGTCCTGCCAGGGGCCGCGTTCTGGGCGGGATTATGCACTCAGGTGTTTGCCTTGGAGATCTGATGGTTTCAGTAGGACGTCTTGAAGCACAGAGAACTACAGAGCGCAAAGGACCCTAGGGTGAACTCCGGGTTTTGTTTCCGTGAATTACAGAAAACAAACGTTTATTTCCTAACTTCAACTAGCTTAAAAGTGGGCCCTGATGAACATTAGGAGTCATGAACTTCCAGATTGAGGAGGTTTGTTGGTGGAGAGTCAGGGTTCCCTTCGGTGGATAACTTATTTCTGCATACCTAAGCTTAAAGCTGAAATATAGCACGAGATTTTTCTGGGTTTTTTTTAAACCCAGAAAAATGCATTTCAACGTAAACGTCCAACTACACCATTAATAGAAAAGCTGTTCTGAACAGTCGTCTTACGTACAACGGGGAGAGAGTAGAGAGATGGCAGCGTGGAAACATCCAGCGGCAGTCTGCCACGTAGCCTCCCTGAGTGTTCTCAGAGGATGTGTGTTGCCCTGTGAGTTAGAGGGAACAGCTCGCAGGTTCCGTTCACAAGTGAGAATAGGCGAGCTGCAGAGAGGCTGCCCCCTCAGTTGTGGGCTGGTGGCGGTAGAGGTGGCCCAGAACCCAGGTCCGATCAGAGGCAGTGTGTGCAGGACCAGTGGGGGTAATTTATGTCCAACACTGCTTGGCACCCACCCCCTTCCTCCAGCTTGAGTTGTCTATGTCAATTTTCCTGGTCATGAATTCAGCGGGTCACCAGTTGAAGTTGAACTTGGCCAAGGCTAGGAGATCTGTAAAGACGTAAATGCTTTTTCCCTTCAGCCTGAACCTGTGGCTGCTGTTCCCCAGCAGTGTCCCTGTGAGGCAAGGGGGCAGGTCTGCTGGTCCATCAGCCACAGTCCTTGCCGTGGCCATGCCATCTGTCACCTCCGTCTCTCACAATGGCCCCGTGGAGGACCTACCTACAGACCCTCCCGCTGACTTCACATGTCATTCAGGGCTGCTGCACCGTGCTGGGGAGGTGGAGGGCAGGCGTGGAGTGCAGAGAACACGAGGCCCAGTCTGGTGTGTCACTGTTTTAGGTGGGAAATGAGACGTAGCAACCAGTCTCTGCGTGTTTTATAGTGACCACCCCTTGCTATGAACTTCATTTAAAAAACAGGACTTTTTATAGATTATATATAACCAAAGTGGACACGAGTAATTACGTTATTCCTAATAATTGTGTTGCTATTGGCCGGGAGCATCCAAGCTGCTCTGGATTCTGGAGTGTGGGGAACAGATTACTTCTGCAGGTGGCTCCCTGATGCTGCCTGCAGTGAGTAGCGGTTTTAGCCTACAGCTTCAAAGCAGAATTTCTCTGAAGCTGTGTTTTGTAGTGTTTTTGCATTAATTGATTTTCTCATGACGTAACCTATTTGTAAGTTGTAACAGTTTGTTTTTCTGCTTTGTAGCATCATGGCCAGCCCAAGAACCAGGAAAGTTCTTAAAGAAGTCAGAGTGCAAGATGAAAACAACGTGAGCTGCTTTTCTTTGATCCCCTGGTCAGGGTTAGCAAGCCTCTCGGAAGTTGCCTGCAGCCTCAGAGCCCTCCCTCCCTGTTGCTGTTGATCTCACTGCCAGCCTCTCCTCTGCTCCCTCTTGGGGCCAGGCATTGGGTCTTTGGGGTCCCTGGGCCCTGCCCTGAGCCGCTGGGTGAGCCACACGTGGCCCTCTTTGCAGGTGTGTTTTGAGTGTGGTGCGTTCAACCCTCAGTGGGTGAGTGTGACCTACGGCATCTGGATCTGTCTGGAGTGCTCAGGCAGACACCGCGGGCTTGGTGTGCACCTCAGGTCAGTGCCTTCTGCTCAGGGCAGCGGATGCGTTCCTGCCCCTTGGGCTCCGTGGGCATCCTAAGGTGCGGTCGGGCCTGCCGTCAGGAGCCGGGGGATGGGAAATCTCGGGCCACCTCACGTGCCAGTTCCCCGTGCCCTCAGGTGTCACGGCCAGGCGCTCCTGTCACAGGAGGCACATGCGTCTGATTCATGACCTGGTTGGGGTGGGGGCTCTCGGATACCCGTACTCGATAGTTAGATTGCTGCTCTGGTTCCTAGCTTCGTGCGCTCCGTTACTATGGACAAGTGGAAGGACATTGAGCTTGGGAAGATGAAAGCTGGTGGGAATGCTAAATTCCGAGAGTTCCTGGAGTCTCAGGAGGACTACGACCCCTGCTGGTCCCTGCAGGAGAAGTACAACAGCAGAGCCGCCGCCCTCTTCAGGGATAAGGTGAGGACCAGCCGTGTGCAGGCTGCTCTGCCCATCGGAGCCAGGAGTTGGGATTCTTCTGTGGGCTCTGACACACCCACAGAGGCCATGAGCAGTCTGTGTGCAGACAGGATGTGTGGCCCCGTCTTGTCCCAGCCAAGGGGAAGCAGCTGCCTGTCATTGGCGGGGTGGAGGACAGGCCTTCCTCCCGAATGTCCAGGACAGTGTCACATCCGGAGGCCTTTCCACATCCTGGGTAGAACTCCTGAGAACACAGTGCCCACTGGGGGCCATCATTTGGGGGACAGAGAGGTGGGTCCTCATTTGGGGTTGGAGCCACTGACCAAGAACTCAGTGGCCCTGCTGTTCAGCAGAGTCAGAGTGAGACCCAGTCTCAGTGGTCACGCGTGGCAGAGACCCCAGCCCATGCCCGAGGCTGGAGGGGCTACATGCGGGGTGCACGAGAGTGCACTAGAGTGGACGGCATCCGCGGCTGCCCCTCACAGTTCCGGGCTCTCTAACCCCTGTGTCCCCCTGGCAGGTGGCCGCTCTGGCCGAAGGTAGAGAATGGTCTCTGGAGTCATCACCTGCCCAGAACTGGACTCCACCCCAGCCCAAGACGCTGCCATCCACCAGCCACCGGTAGCTACTCTGGCCTGCTCGTCGGGCCCTGCGCTGCTCTCACCTGGCCCTGATCTTAGCCGTAGCTCGGGATCCCCATGCTGTTGCCATAACAGCTCCAGTTGTGAGGTGTTCCTAAAAGCCAGCGAGAAAAGCAACTTTTTAGATTGCGGAAGCAATACAGATTTTTAGTAAAAATTCAACCAGTAAAGAGACATCTGAAACACAGCGTACTATCTCCCCACTCCTCAGGTGCAGCCCAGCGCAGGTCCTTCCAGACACGCACCGTGACGTGTGCGGCTCTGGGGGATGTGGCGCAGCCGGGGTTGCCCGCCTCCCCAGAGCGTAGGCACGCTGCAGGCGAGCTGGTCCCCACAGCGGGTGTCCTTTGTCTTCACACGTTGGAGGCTGGTGTTCTGGGGTGACTGCTCTCAGAGAAGGCTCTCCGTTTACCACAGGGGTGCCCAGCGGCCCTCCCCTCGTATCCCCACCCTTTCTCACGCGGTTTATGTCAAAGTCTCCTTGTTGGAAAGTCTCCACACCATGGCCTGTGTGCTTGTTTTGGCCTCGGTCTCTGGCCTCTCTGTGGCCTCCCTGCCAGCACAGGCAGGCGAGGAGCCCCTGTTGAGGCCCTGTCGGTGAGGCTGCGGTGTCTCCATGTGCTTCTTGTGTCTTCAGCTGCCGAGCCTGAGCCACCTGCCAGGCAGAGCTGAAGGCTGTCTTGGCCTCTGGTGCTTTGTCTCAGAGGAGCCCAGGGGTGACCAGGTGGATGAGACAGCACCTCCCAGAGAGCCGTGCGGTCCCCCAGATGTCTCCCTGCCGTCTTTTGGCCTCACTGACCTTTAACTCTCCCGTTTCAGAGCCTCTGGCCAGCCGCAGAGCTTGACCGCCTCTTCGGACAAGGCTTTTGAAGACTGGCTGAGTGATGACCTCGGCTCCTATCAAGGGTGAGGCCTCGAGATCCAGTGTGGGGCTCGGGAGGACGTGGGGGGTGTGCCCTGGGCAGACCTGGCCATGGAAGGTGGGGTCCCTCGGGGCAGGATGCCCCTGCAGGGGTGGCTGGGGCCTGCTGCTTCCTGTGTGTAGGGGGTGCAGGGTCAGCACGTTTGGGAGTCCTGCCTGCTTCAGCCCCAGGCCAGCCCAGCTTTGAAGAGGTTCTTGAGTCAAGAAAAAAACTAACGTTTAGAAGAAAGAAAGAATACGTTTTCTTTCTTGGATCTGCCTGGCCTGTAAATGAGTTTTTGTCCCTGGAGCCATCAGATTAAACTTTTGGTGCTTCTTGCCGTTACCCTGGTTGTTGACTTTGTGTCTTGCTGGGGCTTCTGTAGCTGGACGCAGCAGGAGGGTCTTCTTAAAGAGCAGAAGAGAGCCTGCCTCCCGCGTGCTGCCAGACCACAGGATGCACAGGCGTGTCCTGTGTGGGGGGAGTCAGCACATCCTTCAGAGGGCACCTCAGGGTGGCTGGGCCATCCACGCCTCTGTTCAGGGCTCTGGGTATCTCCCACACTTGCGGCTTTCAGGAGCAGTGGCTTGCTGCTTGTTTCCATCAGGGCCCCAGAGAATCGCTACGTGGGGTTTGGGAACACGGTGTCACCTCCAAAGAGAGAAGACGACTTCCTCAACAGCGCCATGTCGTCCTTGTACTCGGTGAGGGCACACAGGTCCTGGGATGTGTGTGTGTCCTGTGCCAACCTTGAGGGGCCTCCCAGAGTCTTGGGTGGACGGGCTGGGCCCCATGGGCAGTGCTGGGCTGCCCTGGGAGAGCGTGCTGCCTGTTCTGGTTGAGGCCCCTCTCCTTTACTGAAATTGTATGTGGCTCATGTTATTCCGATCCTAGATGTATTCAGTCATTTACTTGCTTTGGTTACAAGTGCGCATTTCAAATTTATCAAGGTGCATTTCCTCCAAAGTGCTAAGTTCTGTATGGACTTGCCTGGCCGTCCTCTCTCCTGGGAGAGCACTGGGCACAGCTGGCAGCTGACCCTGCCTTACCTCCCGGGCTGATTCTTGGCGTCGTCTGTCGGGCAGCCCCATGAGGACGAGATTTCCATGGCAGAGGCGAAATACACGGAAACTGCATGGGCTCTGGCGCCCTTCAGGGATGGCGCCCTCGGCCATGTGTGTGCGTCCCCACCTGCCTCAGCCGCTCCAGGCAAACTGGCATTTGCCAAGGAAACTTTCTGTTTGTTTAGAACGATTTTTATTCATCACAGCATAGTCTGTGATACCAAGAAGGGCAAACCACCTGAGGAGCCCGGGAGGGCGGGTGAGCCGACAGCTGGTGTGTCGGCGTCTGGGTGCTGTGGGTGTAGACACGCACGAGTACGATGGGTCTCCAGTGCGCCGAGTGAGCAAGGAGGTGCAGAGTGGGGGCGTGTGTGTAGAGGTGACACTGGGACCACCCATGCTGCATGTGTGGGGAGGAGACTAGGAGGAAGCGGTCATGTCTCCAGGCCGTGGACTTGGGTCTTAACTCTGGCATGGTGGGAGGTCCTCTTTGAACCATGTATGTATTGTTCCAAAAATGAATGAAGTTGTCACTCAAAAGTTGTTTAAAAGTTCCTTCACCCTGAGGCGCCCACGGCTGGCCCTCTGGAGCTGCGGGTCATGGGCGGCCTGGAACAAGCCGGCTAGAGCCCTGGAGCCCGAGGTCTCTTCCCTCACGGTCGTTGCCAAATTGTCTCCAGGGAAGAAAGGCAAATCTTTAGTCTGAAGCCTTCTGTGTAGGAGTTTATTTTAAAAGAGGCAGCCCCCTGCTCCTCCAAATGTAGTGTTTTCACGTCTCCACGTGCCCCTCCTGCAGAACTTGAATTCTTAGTGAAGAAGCTGAATGTGGTCGTCTCCCAGCGTGAGGGTCTCTCCGCGTTTCCTTAGGAGGAAGAGGCGACATTAGCTTTAAATGAGATGTTTGTGTTTCTAGATAGCTTTAGTTTATCTTGGAGGCTTGGGAGAGCACAACCTTGAACTTAGAACAGGGTCCAGTGGCCCCCAGCCGCCACCACGGTCTGTGTGTCCAGACTGGGCACTGGATTCCTGGCCACTCAGAGGGGAGATGGGAGGACCGAGAGCAGCGGGAGGAGCAGGCCAGGCTGGGGGTGGAGGCTCTGGGGCGGGGCCGGTGGTCCCATCCTGTGGTCCAGGCCTGGCTCTTCCGAGTCCCTCCTGTCGGGGGCCAGGGACAGATGGTGAGGGCCGGGAGAGACACCGGTACTGTCCCAACTGGTGCGGTGGAGCAGGCCGGGAGTGTGGTGTCCAGGTGTGCCCATTGCAGGAATGCTAGCTCTTTGTGGCAAGTGGAGCTGTGAGCTTTCTCAAGGGCCCTCTGCAGGTGTCCTTCCTGCTGGATGTGGGTGCGGAAGCAGTTAGACCCCCCTTTGCGAGGTGATGGTGCAGCGAGTCAGAAAACCCTTCCCGGGCAGCAGCGTGTGGAGCCTCGATGTGGCCCTCTCTGTTCTTCCCCTCAGGGCTGGAGCAGTTTCACCACCGGAGCGAGCAAGTTTGCCTCAGCAGCTAAGGAGGGCGTGAGTAGCTGGTCCCAAAGTGTCACCAGGCCCTGTGGGCCCACCAGGCTGCACTGGTCTGGGGTCTGGGAGCTGGAGAAGGGTCCTGAAGGGGCGCTGACCGAGGGGTGGTGGCTGTTCAGAGGCCATGAGGCTTCCCTCCCATGCTCAGGGCCGCACACCCACCTGCCCTGAGGGACCCTTGTTCTGCTGGCCCTTCTTGCTGCCCTCAGCCGGAGTTCCCAGGGTCGAGGCAGATCCTCAAGGCCACGGAGAGGTTCTCTGCTTTGATGGTGGGCGATTGTCTTCGTGTCACAGGCTTAGCAGGCTCTAGAAGAAAGACGCGCCATGTTGCCGGGGCAGAGCAGGACCTGGATTTGCCCCTTCCCCGCAGCGTTGACCAGGCCCTGGCCGAGGCCCAGTGAAGGCAGTGGCAGCCTTCGCGTTTCCCCTCGGTCTCCAGAGCAGTTTGACAGTTGGACTTTTCTCCCTCACCCTTGCCTGCTCCTTGGCCTGAGGCCAGGGGAGGATTTGGGGGAGGATTTGTCAGGACAGATGGGTGGGGAGTGGGAACATGCTCCGGCTTCTGGCAGCAGCCTGGACAAGTGCTGGGTGGAAAGGAACAAGCCAGAAGCTGTACGAGGATGTCAGCCTAGAGGGGAAACTGTGAGCCGGCAATGTGGCCGTGGTGGAGAGAGGAAGGTGAAGAGAGGAGGGGTGCCCAGAGCGGGGACAAGAGACTGCCCGGCGAGTGACCCAGAGTAGACAGGCCCAGAAGTCAGGACAGGAGCCTTCTGAGGGCTGGAGCCAGGTGGTCGTGGGCCAGCCGGGTCCCCGCAGCCGCCTCACCGACCAGTGGGAACCACGGGGTTGGCTCTCCGGGCTGGAGTCAAGTCTCGGGGAGCGCTTCTTGGGGCCTCGCCATGGGTCGCTGTGCCTGCATCCGCCCCGTCGGGCCTGTGTGGGCAGAGGGCGCCAGCCCTGGGAGGAGCCTGGTGTCCAGGGCTCCGGCCCCCTTGGCACCCCTGTTTCACCATGTGGCTTCTGGTGGTTCTCCCCAGGCCTGGTCTCTGATGGAGGGTTGTGGCTGGGGGTCCAGACACCTTCCCGCTGGAAGATCACCGTCAGGCCTTTCTCTTCTTCACTTGCTGTAGAAGTGCCTGAGGTGCCGGGCAGAGACGAGCGGGGTGACTGGACTGTGCTGAGCCCTGAGCGGGAGGCAGCGTGGGCAGGCTTGTGAGAAAGGCCAGCGAAGACAGGGTTGGGGTGGCCCCCCCTGCACTGGTGGGCTTGTGGGGAGCCCCATCCAAGGGCGAGGAGGACGGAGTTGGCCCTGCTCCCCCAGCCCTGGGTGCTGCCCCTCGTCCCATGGCCTCCCTCCAGCCAGGAGCTCCTATCGCGGCAGCTTTGCTGGGCCCCTCAGGTCTGTCAGGCCCCTTAGACCTGCTGTGAGGTGAGCACTGGTGCCTCGTGGCCATCAGGACACAGGCCCAGGCCTGAGCGTCTGTTGGAGCCCCGGGGAAGTGCAGCCTGGTGGCCAGAGTCAGGACAGCTGATCAAAAGGCCCTGTCTTTGTTTTTCCTTTCAGGCCACGAAATTTGGATCCCAAGCAAGTCAAAAGGTAATGAAACTTCTGCATCCCATGGTCTGTTAACTCCTAGCATGAGGTCCTTTCGATGTCTGGACCCTGCCTGGTCTGCTCTCCTCGGGCCGTGTGCTTGGGAGGGGACGTTGCCATGTGTAGCCTGGACAGGGACAGGCCCGTGTGCATGGATTTGTGCCCCAAGCTCACACATCAGCAGGTGTGCCTTCAGGGTCCTGTGGGTTTAACCGGTGAGTGAGAGGCTGTACCTGCTTAGGGCCTGTGGGCTGAAGTCATGCCCCCATCCATCACAGCCTGGGAGGGAGCAGGTGCCCGCACCGTGGGCAGGAGGAAGGGCTCTGTGCTGTGTGCGCCCGGCCCAGAGCCCCCTGTCCTGGTCAGTGCTTTTCTTGGAGGTGGTGGGCTCAGGCCTTGGCGTTTGTTGATTCTTCAAATCTTGGTTGCCCAGCAGTCCCTGTGTGGTGCCAGGGGCCTCTCGGAGCGGAGGGTCAGTGCCTCACGCAGAGGCTGTCTCAGGGCTGCTCGAGCCGCCCCCATGCCCCACAGGAGGGAAGGGGTTCCCTGCAGGCCCGGAGCATCGCCTGCCTGGGGTGATTCTCGCCCGGACTCGCCCAGGGACCCCATCTCTGCTTGTGTCTGTGAGCCCCTTTTTGGGCTCCTGAGTCACGCTCCCTCACGCGGTCCTGGAAACCAGTCAGTTGGGAGTGAAGATGTCAGGTTCAGTGGCGTGAATGGGCTCCAGGGTGATTCTTGGGGACCCCTGTCGGGGTGACACTGTGAGACACATGACGCTAACTGATGTGTCAAAATGCTTCCTGGTCGTTGCCAAATGCTGCTCCTATCGCCTTTCTCTCCCTCTCTCTTTGCTCCCTAACCCGTCTCCCTGTGCCGTCTGGGTAAAGCTTTGGGGTTCCAAGCAGCAGCCAGAGCTGGTAAGGCCTGCCTCTGTTCTCGGGTATGCCCTCCCCTCGCCTCTGCTCAGCGCCTGCTTGGCTCTGAGCCGTCCCGCCTGCCGTGGCCTATCTCGTGTCGGCGCTTCCGTGTGCTCACACTCCGTGTGTCTCTCTGGCCTGACGGGCTCCCGTCCACAGTGCTCGGGGATGCGAGTCATGGGCGGGAGCGGTGGGACTCAGAGCCCAAGGGTGCCGCTCCTCCAGGGGAGCTGATAGGCCTGGGGGTGCCTGAGCTCCTCAGCAAGATGTCCACTTTGTGGTTTAATTATCTCGAGCCAAACGATCCGAAGAAGTTTTATCCCAGTGACGTGGTCCTGACACCTATGGGGTTACCCCACCCCATCCCCACGCCCCTCCCCCACCTGAACACGCTGTCTGCCTTGGCTCATCCGCCAGCTCCATCCCGGTCCCTCCAAGCTAGCTCCCCACAGTGGCTGCTGGAGGGCAGGTGGGGCCTGAACCACCCAGGGACTGAGGATGCCCCCATCTGCATCCTGCGGGGTGTGTGACCTGCCGTCAGCAACCGGCTGTCCTCACGGGATCACCTGGGGTCTGACAGGAAGATCCTGGAGGTGGCCACTGGATGGGCAGGCTCTCGAGGGCTTGTTGCCGTCCCTGGGCCCCTTCGTGTGAGCGCATAGGCGGGGGCAGCGGTCTCCGGCCTCTGTGCAGCCGGGGTGGCTGGGGGGGCCACTCACGTGCAGCCACTGCGAGAGCATGGGCATCCTGTCTGCTGGTGGGCTGCTCACTGTCAGCTGCCTTTCCTCTGTCAGCAGAGCTCGCAGCCGCGGTGCCAATGCGTGTGCTGGGGGAACACGCCACGCGGGAACTCATGACACCTCTCTCGTTGTGTCTTCCTTCAAACAGGCTTCTGAGCTGGGCCACAGTCTGAACGAGAGTGTCCTCAGACCCGCCCAGGAGAAGGTGAGGTGGCGACAGCCTGCCCTGCGTGCTCAGCTGGGTTCTCCTTGTGTCTCCCCACTTGGCCCTCGTTTCCGGGTGCAGCTGTACTCGGGGGGCTTTGTTCGGAGGCTCCGACTCCTGGAGGCGCCCTGGAACACACTGTGTTCCTGCGGCTCCCGTCCCAGGCTCAGTGAGGCCTGGCCTTGCACTCTGCTCCTTGGCGGGGTGGGGGGTGGTCCTCTTCTCCCACAGGGCTGGGTGTGCGCCCCTGGCCCACCTGCAGTGTGACCACCACAGTGCACAGAGGGGCCTCGGACTGGGCAGGAGAGGCTGTCAGGGGGCTGGGGCCTTCGGAGTCAGTACTGGCCTGTCTTCAGAAGGTTGTGGGAGACTCAGAGACCCCCGGGAGAGGATGCCGCGTTAGACCAGCCTGGGCATAGGGTGTTGGCAGCCCCGACTCTTCCCGTTCGCTTCTGGGGAGACGGGTTCCTGTGACACGGCTGCCGCAGCTCTTCGCAGCCTGTGTTGTCCTCGTACTGGGCCGCCGTGGGGCTTCTGTCCCTCAGCTGACAACACCGTTCTAATCCTCGCAGGTGAAGGAGGGAAGGCTTTTTGATGATGTGTCCAGTGGGGTCTCTCAGTTGGCGTCCAAGGTAGGGCACGCCCCACCGGACGTGCGGGCGCAGCTGGAAGCCAGTCTCCATATTCCAGGGCGCCCGGAACCGAGAGCGGGCACAGCCCGGGTGCCTCGTGCCCCAGGCACCTCATGCCCCGATCACCTCCGTGGCCCGAGCGTCCCCTGAGGCGTGAGGAGGGTCAGGTAGATGCTCCGGTGCCGATAGCTGGAGGAATATGGAAACAGCTTGACGAGGGCCTCTCACAGCCGCTAACCTGTCGCTTCTTTTCCTTCTGTCCTTGTCTTGCTGCCGCTGATCTCTCCCTGGTGAGTGCCAACTGTCTCGACGTGCTCGGGGACAGCCTGCCATCTCTGCTTTAAAGCCGGGGCTGGGGTGGCGTGTCGCCCTGCTTCCCAGCACAAGGCTCTCCGGGTGGGAGGAAGCCCGCGGAGACCCCCCCGGCGCCTGCCAGGGAGCTTCGCTCACAGCTCAGCTAGTTCAGGTTGAGCTCCTGAGGGCCACGGCCTGTCGCTGTCCACACGGGTGCCCTGCCTGCCACAGCAGATGCTGCTGAAGGCAGGGAGCCTGAGCCCTGCTGTGTCGATGTGTTTCTGAGCTTGACGAGGTCTCACCCGGATGCCGTGGGCCTGCTTGGTGTCGGTGCGGACTGAACGGCCTGCTCCTGTCTTCTTCCAGGTCCAGGGGGTTGGCAGCAGGGGATGGCGGGATGTTACCACTTTTTTTTCTGGGAGAGCGGAGGACCACTCAGACAGGTATACTGGGCCCCCCTGTCCTGACGTAGGCTTCCCTTCCCTGGGGTTCCTCTCAGGGGTCTCCGGGAGGCAGTTGGCACCCCCGCTGGGGGCAGGTGTGTCATCCCCCAGGCGTTCGGGGTCATAGTGCAGAAGCCCCCAGGCCCCTAGAGGTGTGGAGGGGACAATTGGCTTCCTGGCCTCTTCCCCTTGGATCCTGGCGGGATCTCCCACTGCCCAGGGCTTGGGAGGGGTGGCAGCACTCTGAGCCGCCATCTCAGGAGCCTGGGCAAGTGGGGCGGCTTCTGGCGCTCACCATCTGCGCTCAGGGCTCGCACCGGCCCATTCTGCTGGAAGCCCAGTTTGGCTGGCTTTCTCTTCTCTGACCCTGCAGGTGGGACCCTGGAGATCTGATGGGGAGACGGCCATGGGCTGGGTCTGGAGCAGTGGCCGCCGAGAGGCTGGCCGTGGCGGGTGTTGGGACAGGTTTCCTTGCTTGTGGCAGAGTGCCACACTGCTCTCTTCCTGTGTGCTGTTTGGTGTTGTGAATGGTGTGACTCGGGTGGGCAGCAGCTCAGCTCAGGGGCTCCTTGAGGGGAAGCCTGTGTCCTGAGCTGATCCTCTCAGCAGTGTGGACAAGGCCTAAGAGCCCTGGTTTGTTTTTCGTCCTTAATCATTCCAGAAAACCAGCATTTTACGTTTTCCTTCAAACATTCTCCATTTTGGGTGAGACTGATTGAGCGTGGGCTCTGGTGGCAGGAGGCCTATCTGACTCCTTCCAGCAGGTTCCGTGCCCTTGGCTTCATGGTGGAAGCGGCACTGAGGTCGGTTCCTCTGCCCTAGAGCGAGAGAAACATCTCCCAGATCCTGAGAGGCACTGGCCGAGAGAGTGCTCTGGTGTGGGCGTGAGGTTCTGGTCCTCAGGCACGGAGCCCGGCTCTTGGGAAGTGCTGATGACAAGGGAAGGCCAGCGGCTCGGGGTGCCACCACCTCGGCTTGCGGGTTTTGTGAGGCAGCTCTTCAGAGTCCCCCTCTCTCTTCCCAAGACCCCCGGAGGGCCGGAGCTACCAGAACAGCGGTGGGGACAACTGCCAGAACAGCCACATCCACCAGAGCTTCTGGGAGACCTTCGGGAGTGCTGACCCCTCCAGGGCTCACAGGTCCCCGAGCAGTGACAGCTGGACGTGCGCTGACGCCTCGGCCAAGAAGAGGAGCTCGGATAGCTGGGACATGTGGGGCTTGGGCTCCGCGTCCAACAAGAACAGCGATAGCAGTGGGGAGGCCTGGGGGGGTGGCAGGGAGAGCAAAGCCAAGACCACCAAGAAGGTGGCACGGCCGCCAACCACGCTGGTCGATGAGGGCTGGGACAACCAGGACTGGTAGGCCCCGCGCGCCCCCAGCCCCGGGGCCACTGCCGTGTCTGCACTTTGCCCTCCTCAAGCCTTGTCCTCTTCGAGCCTCCTTCCGTTTGACCCAAGAAACACCAGCCGTGCGTGAAGGCAGCACCTTGGGCAGGACCCTGGGCCGGTGCTGCCTGCCCAAGTGGGGCGCTCAGATCACAGGGCAGAGGCTGTCTGTGTCCCTGCTCTCCTGGGATTCTGGGGCAGCCCTCGGGCCCTGGGGCCGGGCACCACTGAGGGCGGGTCCCTGCTGCTGCAGGAGGCCGGCTGTGCCCCGTCATCCGCACGTGCTAACTAATAAATCCTGCAGCTGCGTGGCACCAGTGACCATGTGCGTTCTGGAAGGGTGTTTGATTCCAGGTTCGCTCTAGTTCTCTTTGTTTTTGAGGAAAACTCACAGATGAGTATTAGAGGTGGGGCTAGAGCAGCACCAGAGCTCACCCTGCCGTCCTCTGCCATCCACCCTGCCCCACCGGCCTGTGCCCACTGCATGCTGGGAAAGTGGCCATGGCTTGCCCAGGGCCTCTCCCTTGTCCGCCTGTCCAGCCTTCCACGAGTGGCCGCACACACAACCCTGTGGACTGTGTCGCACACTGGACACCTGAACCCGTTGTCAGTGCCTGCACTCGGCTATGCCCGTTGGAGCCGATGGCGGCACCAGCCCAGGATGCCCGGACAGCTCAGAAACGTGGAAATAAGTCAGCATGGTTAGGAAGGAAGGCAGGCCCAGTGGCCCTCTGGGTCCAAGTCAGTCTCCCACCGGGTCAGGTCATTGAGGAGCTGTGTTGCAGGGCCTTCACCCGGGCAGGGGGCTCTGCCCCTGGTGTGTCTGCCTGTTGGTGCGTTGAGGTGTGTGCCGGTAAACCAGTGGTGCTTCTGACGTGTGCTTTTGTGGCAGCGGGAGTGTGGGGTGAGTTTGCGTCAGGCTAGTGTTTAGCCGCCCCACAGTGCAGTCCTTCCTGCACTGGTGGTCCTCGCGTGTCCTCTCATGCTGTCGTGGGGAGCTGTCTCCCAGGGCCCACTCGGCTATGAGCCGCTGCTGTCACCACCTCGCCCCCTGGTCAGGTGGTACCAAGAGTCTGTGATCAGTCCTCTGTCCCTGCACCCACTTACGCTGACCCTCGTGTCACTATCAGCCAAGTTTTGACAACACTGTGTGTACCTGGGGCCTCCTGTATGATTTATTTGTGTGGGACATGCCTGGCAGCCACTGTCCCATGGGACATGCCCCTCTCCCCGCACGGGTGCCCTGCTTCAGGTGACCATGTAGCCCTGGGAGCAGCCAGATCACAGTGTGTGTGGTCTGCGGCACGACCCTGGGCCAGAAGTAACGGGCAGGCTAGCGTGGGACGGCCCCGTGCTGCAGCTGTCCCTTGAGGAAGATGCCTGCAGTGGGGAGGGGACACCCCACGTGGAGCACTTGTGCCTTTGGCAGCTGTTTGAGGGTCTCAGTCACTGGACCAACACCTGCTGCACTTGGGTCGGAGACCAGAGATCAGGTTTAGGGGGATGAAAAACCCCGGCTCAGAGAAAGAGCCAAACCCGTGGTTGGTCTGCCAGCTGGGGACTAGGGATCGCAGAGTGATGGTGCTTAGGAGAGCTGAGCCTGAGGCAAGGGTGCTTGCCGGGCTGATGTGTTCTCCTTGGAGCAGGGACTCTTGAGTGCAGCCGCTGCAGGCTGCCCTCCAGGGGTCAGCGCCTGGCAGGACGAGGGCCTGGATGAGGGTGTGCGGTGCCATGGTTCCGCACCGGGGCCCTGCCTGTTGGGGTGGAGGCTCACACGGGTCTTCTGCTCTCAGTGCTGGAGGCTTCAGTGGCGCTCGGGCTGTTTTCTCCTTTCTGGTCCAGGAGGCCACGTGAAGTTGGGAGGAAGTCGCCCTGTCTGCCCGGGAGCCCCCTTCCATGCCAAGTGCAGTGATCACGAGGACCGTGTTCTGAGTTCTTGGATGTGCCCACAGGGAGGTCTGCTCTCCATACCTGCCTCTGGAACGCTGGGATGTGGTAGTCCAAGACCCCTCACGGGCGGAGGACAGACGCCCTTGCTGTTCTGCTGGTGCTGTCTGAGGTGGGGCCCAGGACAGGTGCGGGGATCTCTTCTCTGGGCTTTATCAGGTGTAAGGGCCTGAGTGTCCAGTTCCCCCTCCTGTATGGGGACACTGGTGTCACAGTAAAGCTCATAGGAACACAAGTGGTCTGGCGAGCCCCGGAGGGGCCGTTTCCAGCGTGAGTGTGGGTGGGCAGAAAGGTCTCAGTGGGTGTATGCCAGGAACCCTGCGCTGGACGGCAGCTCCTGTAAAGGGTGGGCCAGCGGAGTGGTTTGCCTGGCCCCAGGTAGAGACGCCCCAAGCCCCCGTGTGTGGGGCAGCCTGGCCTCTGCACTCTCCATCTGAGCCTGCGTCCTGTGAAACGTGGCTGGGTGGAGGTGCTTCCTGCCGTCCCCGTGGGTTGTCCTGCCCTGGGCAGCGCTTTGGGGCAGGTGAGCCGAGCCTGGGCAGGTGAAGGCAGTGGGTCCCAGGTCGGGAGGCAGGTCTGGGTCCTGATGGGGCGGCCCTGGAATTTATTGTTGGCCCAATCTCCATTGGCCCCACCCACCTCCGCTGGCCAGCGGGCCTCTGCCTCTCGGGCCAGCTGGGTACAAGAGTGGACCATGTGCCGTGAAGCTGCCCTCGACTCCCTGGCCTCCTTTGTGCAGGCCATCCAGGCTCTAGCTCCAGGAGGCCAGGCTAATCCACGAACGGCACATCCACCAGTTCAGGCCTCCTGGCCAGCCTCTGCCATCTGTGTGCCCCAGACCCCCTGGCCAAGGTACCAGGACTGACCAGCAGACACACTTCAAGGCCAGACCCCTGCCTGGATTCACATCCCATTCTGGAACAGGGGTGACGTGAGCCAGCCAGGGCACTGGCTGCTGTGTCGCTTCCGGAAGGAACACAGGACTCTTGTTCAGCAAGGGGCCAGTGCCAGGCTCTGTCCTGTTCTTTCTCAGCTGTGACCCTGGGCAGCTCGAGCCCCCACACTGCTAGGTGGTCTTGGAGGCTGTGGGGGCATCGCGGACGTTGAGTGCCAGTTGGGTGCAGGGGCCCCTGGGTGGGCACATGGGTGAGGGTCCGCACGGGGTCCAGCCAGGAGTGCTGAGGGCTTGACTGGCTTGCATGCGTGGAGGGCGGCGCCTCAGTGGCATGCGTGTGAGTGCACACACGTGTCCATGGTGGCTGTGAGCCCAGACGGACGTGTGTGCCCAGTGCGAGTGTCTGCGTCTGCCAGGTCAGGCGCCCTCTGCTGGCCGCGGCTTGGGTCTGCAGGGTCTGCGGGCTCCACTGGGGCCTCGGGTCCCAGGACTCTCCCAGCGCCCAGCATCCATCAGCCCTGCAGCGTCCTGGCTTGCAGGCTCTGGTCCTTAGGTTGGGCAGCTCCCAGGACACGGCGAGTCGGGGAGCTTGTTCTGCCTCGGGGTTCTCGTGGGGCAGAAGGTCTGAGGCCCTTTCCAGCCGCAGGAGCTCCACCCGCCAGGGCGAGGGGCTGGGCACAGACGCAGGCAGGACAGGGGAGGCACTCTGAGGGGCTTGGGGCAAGGCCGCCTTGCTCATCTTGGTTTCCGTGCCCAGGCCTGAGACCTGGGCCCTCCCAGCAGCGTTTGCAGCCTTCGAGGTGGTGGACCGGCCGGAGGGGCGAAGTGGTAGAGCTGGCTGGGTCCTGCAGCGCTGCCCTGTGGCTGGGGGTTGGGGGGGACAAGAGCCCTTGTGGGAGTCAGGGAAGCCTCTTCCCGCTGCTCTGGCCCACCGACCCCTCCCAGCCTCCAGCGAATATTGAGTCTCAGCCGACTACTGTCTCCTCTTCCAGCTGGCAGCCCGAGGCCCCATGCTCTGCCCACTTCCCCCAAAGAGTGTGTCTGCCTCGGGAAGCTGACCCAGAGCAGGGTCAGAGGGCCCCCAGCAGCCTCCGGAGCACCTGGGGGTCAGCTCCGCCCACCCCTTCACTGCCTGGGCAGGGGCGGGTCCTGGGGGTTTGGTGGGGGCGGAGTCAACTGGTCCCAGGGGGCAGGTCCCAGCATAGGGGCAGGTTCCAGTTGAGGTTGGGCAGGTCCTGGGGTCTGGTTGCGGTGGGTGCCCCTGCCCAAGCACCAGTTCCTGGGGCCAGCCTGTGGGAGCCTAGTCGACCAGGCCACAGAGCCATCAGGGTGGGCTGAGAGGGCACGGGGAGGGGCCACACTTCACTGACCTTCGCAGACTGGGGAGGATTGTAGAGAAGTGACCGCTACAGAGGAGACTTCTGGGTGGGGGCTGGTGAGGGCGTTGGCCTGGGCTCTGGAGACCGCTGGAGAGGCACAGATGGCTCGGGTTTGGAGTCCTGGGTCCTGGGGACGAAGCTGGGGGAGTGGGGTGGTGGAGGCTGGTGCGGCCCCAGGGTCCAGGTGCTGCTCCAGGCTACCCCCTCAGGCTGCCAGGGACCCCAGTGCCCATCACCCACAGCTTGGTGCCCAGGGCCACACGTGGTGGCCTTTGTCCCTGAAGTGCCATCCCCCTGAGCCCATCTTGGGGACAGACCCTGTGGGTGAGGGATGAAAGGGTTTGGTTGGTGCCGTACCCCACCCCTAGCCCCGATCCCTGGTGGGATCCGTGCCACACAGTGTGATGGAGTCCTTCACGCTGGGGTCTCTGTGCCCCTGGCTTCTGGGCAGCAGATGGGAAGGGTGGAGAGCCAGGGGAGGGGAGGAGGCCAAGGGATGGAGGTGGGGGCTGGGGCAGTGACGTTGAGGAAAGGGGCCTTCACAAGCCAGGCCTCCCTGTGGCTGCAGCAGGACCAGAGTGAACCGGAGCTGGTGGGGAGCGAGGGACGCTGTCCTTGGACAGGAGCAGGTGAGTGACTCTCCGGGGGGCTGGGTGGACATGGAGAGGCCAGCAGGGGATGCACCCAGGTCTGGGCAGATGCCGTACAGAGAGTTCCTGTTGCCAGCCACGTCTTCTGTGCCCTGGTAGGGTCCCACTGAGTCAGGCCAGGTTTCTGGGGAGGGGAGGGGGCCTGGCTTCAGAATGCGGGTCAGGAGGGTCCAGGGACGTGCGGTGCCCAGGTTACCCATCCATCGCCCTTTAGCCCCTCCACAGCCCCAGGACCCCCACAAGCTCAGCAGTCAGGCAACAGGCCTGTCCTCGGCCACTGCCTGCCCCGGGTGTGCTGGGTTGAGGGTGGCCAGGGACCTGAGAACCTGCGCTCGTGTCCCCTCTGCACTGTCAGCAGAGGCCCAGAGGCCGCCCCCGCCCCCCGGCTGTGTGCAGCTCGAGGTGGGAGGGGCGCCCTCAGAGGGTTCCCCCAGGACCCCAACCCCATCTCCATGGGCCTCCCCCTCCCCCTGAGGGGCCAGCTCTGGGGCCAGTCCTCAGCCAGGACACCCCCTCCGGGGGCCGGCAGAGGGGCAGCTGTGCCGCCCCCGAGGGGTTCTGCTCAAACTGGGGTCCTAGTTCCCAGCTCTGAGCTGCTCCGGGCTGCAGGCAGGGCCCGCCCCACCCCTACCTGGCCTCAGTTTCCTCCCCAAGCTCCTCAGCCCTCACAGCGGCCGTCGCAGTCTGGTCTAATGGCGAGTGAGTGACCAGAGCAGTGGTCAAGGCCCCATGCTGGCCTATGGAGAGTGGGCATGTCCCAAGGGTGGGATGCAGGACCAGAGGCTGTGACTGGGCAAGACGTATCAAGGGACAGGCAGCTGACCTCTTGCTCTGGGAAGCTCGTGGTCAGGTCCTGCAGGATGCCTGCCTGCTGGGGACAGACGGGCAGGGGCGGCTGTGGGGTGCAGTGTTGCCTAGGTGAGCACTTTGGGCCTCGGGGTCTCCGCACATGTGTGTGTGGGTGCCCGGCATGGGCTCAGCTCGGCACACAAGGGCATGGACGGAGAAGCTGTGGCTTTGCAGTCAGGAGGGGATGGACTGATGGACAGATGGCTGAGTGGCCTCTCCTCCTTCTGCAGGCTGAGCACCATGAGCGCCCGGGGGCGCCCCTACCTCGGGGTCTGCCTCTGGCTGTGGCTGAGTATCACCCTGGGACTCGGCCAGGGACAAGGTAAGGACATGGAGTCGGGGGCTTCCTGGGGACTGTGGCCCCCGCTGCCCCCACAGCCGCCCACTGCGGCCATACCTGCCCAGGGCAGAGGCCCTATTGCAGGCGAGCCTCCCGTCCCCGCTCCCGACCCTCCCCAGGGGCTGCTGTTCCCTATAGAAAATGTGCTCAACGAGTGAAGACTGGACGGCCCGAGAGGTCGTCTGTGTCCTTCTGCCCGAAGCCTCATGCTCAGCCTGCACTTTGACCTTTGGCCTCATGGTCTCTCCCCTTGCTTGGGAATGCTTTCGTGTGTTTTCTGGTCGGTTTTTTTACATTATTAACACACTGTGTGTTTAATTCTGTCATGTTAACGTTGTGTTTTGAATTATTCCATGGATGCCTTTTCGATGTAAAATTTTCAAACAGCACAAATCTGGAGTAAAAAGTGAAAATCCCCTTCCCCTAGTCCCCTCCCCAGAGGAAAGCACCGCGAATGTGGGCTCTTGGCTTCTAGCACTTTCCAGCTTGTTTGAGGCGTGCAGAGCATGCGCTCTTAAACAGCTTTTCTCCTCGCATGGCACTCGCATGCTGCCTCACACGTGGTGTCACGCTCCAGGCCACGCCTCTTGGTAGTCTGCTTGCTCCCCGGTGGGCATTCACGGCGTTTTCCTTCCGGGTCACGTTCATCTCCGTGTCGTCGGTAATACGTCAGAAGGGACACTGCCAGCGACGCTGGTGGGCATCTTTGCCAAGCTTCACTCCTGAAGGGCGCTGGCCTGGATGATCCCGGGAAGGCGGGCATCTGCGGCCTAGGGGGACGCTCTGAGGCTTCGCCCACGCGGCCAGCGCTCGGGTCCTGCTCCTGCTGAGTCCCATGAGGGTGGGAGAAGGCACTCATCGCTGTTTTAAGCTGCGCTTTTGGGTCACTGCCGAGGTCTGACTTCTCTGTGGCTGACTCACGGTTTCTGTTAAAAACGTCTCTTCTGGGGCTGGCCCCATGGCTTAGTGGTTAAGTGCGCGGGCTCTGCTGCTGGCGGCCCGGGTTCGGATCCCGGGCACGCACCGACGCACCGCTTCTCTGGCTATGCTGAGGCCGCATCCCACGTACAGCAACTAGAAGGATGTGCAGCTATGACATACAACTATCTACTGGGGCTTTGGGGGAAAAATAAATAAATAAATAAAATTAAAAAAAAAAAAAAACGCCTCTGCTCGCCCGGTGCCGTGTGCAGAGCGGTGGGGGCACACCGCGTGGCCAGACCCAGTGTGGAGCCACGGGTCTGCTGGCTGCTCTCTTACTTTGTGGCACGTCTTCTTGGTTTTGGTTTTGCATGCCTTTGGCGACTGCCGCCTGGGCGGGTCCCTCAGTCCCTGGGGGTCTGACAGGATCACCAGATGGGGCTAAGTCCCTAAGCGATCACACAGACAACTCGAGTTCAGGACGCAGCTCCTCCGAGGTCCTTGCCCACTCTGGGCAGACCCCCTGTCTCACGTCCCTGAGGACTGGAGTAGGCGGGTGCCCCAATGTGTGGGCTGACCTCCCCGAGAATGGTCCTGGGGAGGGGGGTGCTTCCCACTGGCTGGCTGTCCTACACCCTGCCAAGGCCCCTGACGTGCAGACCCCCGAAGGCAGCCCAGATGCCTCCCCCAGCGTGACAGAGGCACCGTGAGACACAGAGGGCTCTTCATGAGCAGGAGCCGGGCCCCTGCTCACAAGTGGCTTTTCAAAGCCCCCACCCCCAAGACATTGCTGCCTTTCAACTGGGTGCTTCCGGGAGCAGCGGTCCCATCCGGAGACCCGGCTCAGCTGCTTCCTGCTCTGAAGCGGTCATTGTGTCCGCCCTGGGCACCCCCAGCCCCTGCCCCAGCCCCGGCAGTCAGTGGGGCAGCCACAAGAAGCCCATCTCTGTCTTCATTTTCCAAAAATAGCCACCCCCACCACGGGGCTCCCGGAAGCTTCCCCAGGAGGTCAGGCTGTGCCCGACCTCAGGCTCAGGCCTCCATTGCCCCTCCTCCCAGGACGGCCACGCACCCCACCCCACGGGGCACCCCACCCCAGATGGTGTGAACCTGGCTGTGACCTTGGCAGCTGGGGGTCTGTAGCTGCACAGCTGCGTCTCCGGCTGCTGGGATGGGACCCCAGGGCGGCTCCAGACCCCGGGCAGGCTGGCAGCTGCTGCATTGATTCAGTGCCTGTGGTTGCCGACCGGGCAGCCTCAGATGCCGGCCTGAGCCTTACTGGGCAGGGGCAGGCGACACCCCTAGGAGAGCCTGGCAGGGGCCTCCCTGGGTGGGGTGGTCTCCTCACTGGAGCTATCAGGCGGCCCTGGTGCCTCAGACCCCTAAGGAGGTCCAAGTGCTCCTCCAGCCCGGGGCAGGGCCACCTCTTCTCAAGTCCCCCCAGTGGGGCCACAACCTCCTCAGAACCCAGATGGGGCCGTGCCCCCTCACACCTCTCAGGGCGGGTCCCCCTGCCCCAGAGCTGGTTGGGGTGGTCACTGGGGTCAGTCCTGACCACCCCGTCCTGTCTCTGCAGTGAGCGGCCGCCTGAGGCTGGCCGTGCTGCCTGAGGACCGGCTGCAGATGAAGTGGAGGGCATCAGAGGGGAGCGGCCTTGGCTACCTGGTGCAGGTGAAGCCCGTGGCAGGTAAGGGGCCTCCCCTCCCCGACCCCCGTGAGGGCCGCCAGTGACAGTGGTCAGCAGAGCGGTCCCTGTGCTGGCTGCTGTGTCTCAGCTCCCACATGCCCCTGTGATTCTGCTGTCCCTCCTGTCCGTCTGCCCCACTAACATGGGGATGGAGGCCCTTAAAATTCCCACTCCTGAGTCCCCCCATCGAGCACATGCAGAAGGCAACCAATCGACGTCTTCTGAAGGCACAGTGAATCCCTCCTGGAGCTAAGAGCCCTTCCAGGATTCTGTGGTGCCGGCGACCACTGATCGGGCGTCTGATGCACAATATTCACCCGCGGTTTGCAGGAGGGAGGCCGAGGGGCTTGAGCAGGATGAGCACAGGCCCAACCACAGAGCCCTGCAGACTGACCACGGCTGCCAGATTACAAACCTACAGAAAAGCCCACAAACACGAGTGTGTAAACACAGGAGCCAGCACCCTGCGAGTGCAAACCCGGGCTCACCTCTCAGCGTGTAAAGAAGCACATCCCAGCCCCTCAGGCCCTTTCCGGCCTCCGCCGCTCTCTGCGCCCAAGATAACCCCCTTCTCGCCTTGGGTGCAGTTTTCTAGTATTTTAATGAAGCCAAATTTATCTACCTTATTTTTCAAATATTTTGTATTTTTATTAATTTTTTTGTCTACTTATTAGTTACTCAGAGAAGTATCTTAAATCCCCCACCATGATTCTGTAGGTATGTCTTTCTCTGGTTGTCTTGCCAGTCTTCGTTTTATGTGTTGAGGCTCTGTTATTAGGTGCGTACAGATTTAGAATTATCGCATCATCCTGGTGGACTGAGCGTTTTCCTCGTGGAGTGTTCCTCGTTACTCCTAGTCAGGTCTCCTCACATCCTGCTTTGTGTGGATCAGTATTGCTCCCCAGCCCGTGTTTGCACTAAATGTCTTTCCCATTCACTGACTCAGCCTTTCTCTAACCTTTCATTTTCCTTGGAAGATGCATCTTCCAAGGAGCACATAATTGGTATTGTTTTTATCCAATGTGACCATCTTTGCCTTTTGATTGAAACATTTTTTCCATTTACACTGAATGAAATTACTAATTATATTTGGGTTTAAATCTGCCATCTTCCTATCTTTTTTCTTTTTGTTACACCTGTTATAATTTTTTCTTCTCCTTTGTTGTCTTGTTTGGAACTGAATTTTTATGTAAAAATTTAAACACATGCAAAGGAAGAGAGCAGAGTATAATGAAACCTCGGGTTCCCAGGATTTAGCTTCAACAGTATCAACATATGGCTGATATTGTTTCCTGTCTCTCTAACCTTTTCCATATATTGAATTAGCTTTGAGCAAATCTCAGACATCATATACTTCTGTCTGTAAATATTTCAGTGTGCTTCTTTAAAAGGAAGGACTCAACAATAGCTCCAGTACCACTATTATGCCTAAGAAATGAAAGTATTTCAAACCTTCCAGCTTGTCTGATAAATAGCCTTTACAATTGACTTCTTTGAATGAGGATCCCAACAGAGTCAGCACACCGTCTGGTTCTCTTGTCTTGGTATTGTTTTTATCCAATGTGACCATCTTTGCCTTTTAATTGAAACATTTTTAATTGAAACTGTTTCATCTGAAACAGTTTCCCCTCTCCCCCTTCTCCTTGACGTTTGTTTGTCGAGGAGGAGGATGGTCTGTCTGTGGAACTTCCCACGTTCTGCATTTTGCTGATGGTGTCCCTGTGGTGCCACTGGGATTGTTCCTCTCTCCTGGCATGTCCTGTAGATTGACAGTTAGGTCCCAGAAGTTTGGTCAGAGTCAGGTTTGCTTATATTTTGTTAAAAATAATTCTTTTTCAGTGGTTCTGTGTCATTCCTATGATGCCACAACTGGAGGTGCACGATGGCTGGTGAATCTTTTTGTGTGAGGTTAAGGTTGATCAGCAGGTGTGAGATGACTGAGCACTGTTTCTTATTCCATGTCCCCAGTCTGCTCGAGGGTCGCGTGTTCCTTTGCTGCTGCAGTGACCCCCGAGACCGCAGCACGCACGTTAACTGATCAACATGTGATACACATGACAGCTATGTCTCCCCCCCAGGTGGTGCCGAGACCTAGAACGTCACAGCTGTGTTCGTCCCCCTCTCGTGCGTGTCAATTCTACATCGACATCAAATCTCAAAACACATTTTCATTCTTGTAGTTGTGTCTACTCTGTATTAATATAGACCAACTCACGTGTTTACCCTTTCATTGTTTTCTGTTCCTTCCGGAGTCTCCTGATCTGGGATTGTTTTTCTTCTGCCTGAAAATACTCTGTGGTGTTTCCTCTCGTATAGGTCTGCTGGTTGCAAATCCTCTGTTTTGAGGGGTTTTTTTTGTTTTGTTTTTTGTCTGAAAATATCTTTATTCCACCTTCATCCTTGAAGGATGTTTTTTCTGGGTGTAAAATTTAGAATCAGCACTTTCTTTCAGCACTGTGAAGAAACTTTTTGTTGTCTTTTGGTTTCTGTTTTTGTTTTTTTGAGAACTGAGTTGTCAATCCAATCATTGCTCCATTGGATGTAATGTCTCATTTTCTTTTTTTCCTGATTGCTTTTAAGATTTTTTTTTCTGTTTTAGTTTTCAGCACATTTAATCTGATGTTCATAGGCGTGGATCTCTTTATCTTGCTTCAGATTCATAGGACTTCTTGAATCTGTGTCTTAATCTTTTACAGTTTTGGAAAATTCTTTAGCCATATGTCTTCAAATATTGCTTGTGTCCCATTTTCTCTCTCTTCTCTTGGTGGGGCTCTAATTACACACATGTAGATCCTCTCAGTGTATGCAGCCTCTTATTCTTTCTTCTGTATTTTCATTCTCTTTATTCTTAATTCTGTGCCTTTTTTTGTGTGTGTGTGAGAGGAAGATCAGCCCTGAGCTAACATCCATGCTAATCCTCCTCTTTTTGCTGAGGAAGACCAGCTCTGAGCTAACGTCCATTGCCAATCTTCCTCCTTTTTTTCCCCCAAAGCCCCAGTAGATAGTTGTATGTCATAGTTGCACATCCTTCTAGTTGCTGTATGTGGGACGCGGCCTCAGCATGGCCGGAGAAGCG